AAAACGTCGAAATTTGTCCACAGTGTACCTTTTAAGAGTTTGTTTATATTGAATCATCATTTAAATTTTATATTTAAAGAGAAAGTCAAAGTCTTATGTTGTTTTCCTTTTTTATTGATAGTGAGTGCCTTACGGTTATGGCCGATATATATTTATTTTTTTATTAACATTTTGTTTTTACTTAAATAATTGTGTTAACAACAACGTATTATTCGATTTGTTGTTAGTGTAAAACTATTAGAAACTACCAGGAAAAGGATAATAAGACAAAAGAAGAATATTTAATTTAATTGATTTACTTGTCTTTCGCATATGTGAGGTGCCCTGTAGGTTTACAATTATAAATAGATACCTATCTTCTATAAGGATCTTGTCAAATTTGCCTTAATACTACAGTTAGCTGTAAATATCTCAATATTCGAAACAAAGTAACATCTTTAAATATAATATTGCTAATGAATTGAAAAGTAGTGCTTATGCTTCTGTAGTTTTCTTTTTTATTGCTTTTTCATTTCTTTGTGTTCCTCTGAATTTTCTTGATGAAACTACGTTTCGATCAAAAATGAGTTTTTATGTTATTAGTTTAAAAACAAAGTTTGCTGACTCAATTTAATGTTAGTTTTGACTGATTGTCGTTGAGAACTTTTTTTTTTTTTTAATTTCATGTTATGTTTATTTTTGCATGTTTTATTTTTGAATAAAGCCTGCAGCAGAAGCGCAACGGTTGGATGATGCCATCGGATTTTTGCGAGACCATGCAGAGGTAAATGTAAGTATAACATTTGAATAACCGATAACCATTAGTTAATTCACTAATAAGTAGTGATGCTTTTTTAAAATTGGGTGGTTATGTTTCAAATTTAGTTTTATTTCAGGGTACACGAATGGAGGAAAGACTAGACGATGCTATTAATGTTTTACGCAATCATGCGGAGTCACAAATAAATTTAGGACAGCTACCTCCAAATTTAAGCGCATCACAAGTAGGTGCATTAAACTATACCCCTTCTACATCGGAAGTACCTTTTTCGGAACCTATTAAAGTAGAAAGGACAACACACCATAATAGTAAGTCCTCTTTTGACATGAACACATAAAATTTTATTTAGATATTTGCTCACAAAATCGTAATATCCATTAATGTTTAAAGTTGGAGAAAGCAGTTAGTGCATAGTTGTATATCGACTAACGTAGCATTACTGTGTCACTTTGACGGTAAATATTTATACTAAATTAAACTCGCCCCAACTCTGTTTGATTATTAATGGAGTATCCGTCAAAACCTTCAAAATGCTTTCTTCGTCGCAGCCTACTTCATTTTTTTTTCTTTTACAAGCAACATGCAAACTAATATCTGAGGTGTCAGAGTTACTCCAAAATGTATTTTATCCACTTGCAGAAAAACGGAAAGAGCCTCCTGATAGTGATTCAAAACCCTCTAGTTCTGTAGATAGTATAACACAGCCAAATTCAACTAGCATCGGTTCGGTAACTAAAGCTTCAAAGCGATCAAGGAGATAGTAAGTAAAATTATTAGTTTATATTAACTTTACATTTTGCATGCAGAAATAGATGTCTCATTGATTTAATTGTAAGGTATTTAACATGGCGTGTTTATAATCCGTCATGGATAAAAGTAACTTTTTTTTAATACTTCATATTGTCTGTACGTTATTATGAAAGAAAAGGGAATACTGGTCGAGTAATAATCCGAAATAGTACCTAAGTGTAAATTAAAAAGTAAGGTTATGGATTCAGAAATATGTTCAACTTTTTATTGAATCGAGTGGCTGGGTGCTTTAAAAATTTTAGAAACGTTAATTGTTTATGTAATTGACAACGTTAAGGTATATGTACCTCCTCGCTAATGATTTTCACAAAGAGGCAAAATTGGACGTACAGATAACTCATACAGTTAATGCTGGATTTATATGTTATGTTGTTATTTTATATGTCCTTCAGAAAGCTAATTCTGATTTGTTATACTCCCTAGATATTTATATAGATACATAACAGGGTGTCCCAAGCAGGCGTGTTTCCTCAATAACTGCTTTACAGTTGAAGATATCAAAGAAAGTTTCTTACAAAAAGTACCTTCATATCATAAAATTATTTTCCAATATACACACTGTCCGATTTTTCCTGGAGGCAACCTAACTTCATTTTTTCAAGTGAAATGTCCCATTCATGATTACATTTTTGAATTCCTCCTTAAATTTCAATACCACTTTGTTAATCATATATTATGTCTAAAATGAATCAGTTTTCATAAAATTCGCACTAATTCAATAAATAGGCTGTTGGAGTGCTCTGCGCCATTTTTCAATTTCTCCGAAATAAAAGTACACAGGGGCCTACTATTTTCACTATCAACGCAAACATGTTTTTTTTTAATTCCTTTAAATCTACTACTTCCAAAATAAATTGTTTCGAGTTGACAAATATTTTTTTTTTTTTGATGGAATGCCATATTTTTTGTCAGCTCATTATGAGTAAAATTTTATTTCTTTCGTCCAATATAAGGGTGCTACTATCTACGACTAACACTTTTTAAGAAAAAAATTTTTTTTTTTATAATGTTAATTTATGTCAGGTCAGCGATTTGCTTTTATCCACCTTTTACGAACGTCAATTTCGTGTGCTTGATAAGGTGCTAAGTAACGTTTCGTTTTATACGTTGTTAATTTCTGAATTGTGTAGTCTATGGCTTTCAGTTAAAATGGAAAGATATATATGGGTTTGTCCTTGGGGAATGCAGGCGAAATCATCTCATGACATCTTGAGTGTATGCTCAGTGATACCCAAACAGATGTAATCCTCGAGTAGATGCTTTCCGCAGGGAGTTACAGTGGTTTGTTACTAGCGGAACAGTGAAATGTAGACATATAAAGTACTCCCTGTCTGTTCGGAAGGAAATGAATATATGTATCTGACGTTTTAACTTTACTCAAAACCATAGCTGGGCAGCCCAGAAATTAACAACGTATAAAGCGAATCGCCGACCAAGGCATACTTGATATCCTGATATAAATTGGTATCATTAAAAAGTTTAATTTTCTCAAAAAGTATTAGTTGTAGGTAGTAACAAAAGGAAATGAAATTTTGCATATTATGAACTTACAAAAAATATAGCATTTCATTAAAAACAAAAAATAGTTATGCCAATTCGAAACAATTTATTTGACAAGAACATGTTTGCCTTAATAATGGAAATGTAGGCCATTTCTTTCATAAGCTATGTGTGAAAATAACACACCTCTGTGTGCTTTTGTTTCGAAGATATTGAAAATAGCGCAGAGCACTGCAACAGTTTATTTATTGCTTTAGTGCGAAGTTCATGAATGTCGATGCATTTTAGGCATAATATATGGTTAACAAAGTGGTATTTATATTTAACGAGGAATTCAAAAGTGAAATAATGAATGAGGCATTCCATTTGAAACAATGAAGTTAGGTTGCCCCCAGGAAAAATCGACCACTCTGTATATTTGAAATTTTATAATATAAGGATACTTATATGGTACCATTTTTGTAAGAAACTTTTTTGATATCTTCAACTATAAAGCAGTTATCGAAGAAACCCGCTTGCTTGGGACGCCTTGTATGTCACTACACAAATATATGTAAAATATGATCATTTATAATGCATATACTAGGGACCGTTAGTAATAAGGTTTTGTAACTTTTTGGCATAACACTCAATGAAAACGCACTGTATGGATGTCTTGCATTTGGTAGGCCAAAAAATTATAATACATAATGTTGCACATGTTACGTCGAACAAGTTTGTCTGCTGCATACTTGCAGTACAAACATTCATTAATAACCAATAAGTCAGTCTAAATATGATTACAATGAAAGGTTATAAGTTATGTTGTTACCTTACAACCTTAAAATTTGAAAATGTGTAAAGGTGTAGTAGAAACTATAAAAATTCCCAAAATAAAACACAAAACAAGTTTTTTAAGTACGCATTCCTAATAAAAAAACAATAAACGAATTAAAGAGTAAGACCTCAAAACAATATTACAGGCAGCCGAAAAATTTTAAAAAAATCAATTTCGAAACTATCTAGCTTTAAAGATATAATATTCCATTTCTAACAAATGCTATTTTTTTATTCGGACGAAGTCATTGTATTGCGTAAAACATTTTTGGTAATACCTACTTCGTATAAATATAAATANCAATATTAATGATACAATTCATACAATTCATGGAGATGGACTTTTTTTAAGAATCTTTTTTCTGATTTCCAATATCTGCAACAATTTTTGAGATATTTGCAAAAAAATGGAAACCCCCTTTTTTTCTGAATTCTTTATAACTTTTCTAATTTTTACCAGCCTCACATGTTTTTTTTTTTCGAAAAGCATTCTAGATGACTTTACACCTTGTTCATAACTTTAGGTGAATTCGGTCCCGAATTCGACCAAATGACACTTTTTGACTAGACTATTAATGAAGGAAAAGGTGTAAGACATGGAACAGTCAGGGTCTCTCCCCGGCGGCCGATAAAGAGAAGCATTACATTCTTATCATTGCAATGTTTCCCATGAAGAATAAATAATATAGTGTAAGTATTTTTGTATTGTGAATGTTCTAAATAAATCATTATAATCTAAAAAATCAGAACCGCCATAGTAGAAATAGAATGTGCAATAAAGGTTTGTTTTTGATTATTAGGTCTATTTAATTGACGCGCCTCACAAGTAGCAATGAGTCGTTCGATATTTGAAGAAATGTTAGACCAATACATGATTTGCCATGCTCGAAGTTTAGATTTAACGATGCCAAAGTGAGCATAGTGAACTAATTTTAACACCTCTTTTTCCAATGAACGTACATTCAGAAATGTGACAATGTAAGTTTCCTTACTGGCTGTTGTTTTACCTGTTGCCAATAGAAATATGTCGAATTTTTGTTTCCACTTTTGCTACTTAGCAGGTTCGTTTATATTTAAGTTTTCCGGAGGTTTAAAATCCATTTTAAACGAGCTTATTTATGGATTACACACATGGCACCATGCATTGCATTAAAAGAACAAGTTTTATATACAAATATTTTTATTAAAAACAAGGGGCGAGCGTGTATAGTGAACACGCGTAAGAAGTAAAACTTCTTTAGATTGTATATTATAGTAGTATTTAAAAAAAAACTAATCCCTAATTTTATATAAAATTAATAACATAAATACTGCTTGGCTCATATGCTGAGCATATATCGATAAACTCTCAATAAGTAACATGGTCGTCATCAGTAAATAATGCCCGGCGACTATTCTCGGCGTCTCCTCTTTGTGTGGATCTTCGTATACCTTTTCCACCTCTCTCACTCTGCTTAGGTGAATGGTAATTAGAAAAGGACAAGGAGTTTAACAGATTTATTAACTGTACGAGTTAACTCTCATTTCGAAACTCCTATAGTGTCCCATAAAAAGTTTCACTTCAAAAAAAAAAAAAAAAAAAACAACGAGATACAAATATGAGCACGTGTTCTAGGTCATACTAGTAATACGATTCCACTTGAGTATAACCCTCGCCAGTTACTTGGACATTAGACATGTTAACTTAAAAGCCTTATAACACTAAAAGTGACACAAATACGTTACAATAAGTACTACCATTTGCAGATGTATCCAGTTCCAGAACAAGCTAGTGTAAGTAGTTATAGTTCTGCTCCATCAACTCCAGTGAGTTCACCTCCACCTTTGGCGCCTTCGGGTTGGCTTCCTAATCAAAACGCGCCCACATCACCTCTTTATTCCCAAGCTGTGTCGACAGGCAGTACTAACACAGTTCAGGGTATACATATGGTGAGTATTAGTATGAATTAAAAAATTCTTAACCCTTAATAACCCAACTTTAACATTTTTTTACAATATTTGTAGTGTAGTGTAGCGTAGTGCATTTTATACATGAAAATAGTAGCAGCACGAATATTAGTATTATAGGGAATGCTCTGAAATCAGTGGCAAAAATTGAAACAATTCTAAAAGGTCTTTTGAAATATTGAAGTTTATCTACCTCATAATGCATCGTCACTGTGTAGACTCCGCAAGCAATTTTCAGCTCAAGGAGGATTTTTTCATTTTCATCGTCAACACAGCAGACAATTTGATAAGACAGATAAGAATTTATTGATTAGCATTACTTCATACAGTCGACTATTTTCTCTCTTCTTCTCTTCTCTTCCATCTGAGTGATTTCAAATTACGNTCAATGCCCACCAGTTGTATAATTCGGGAATAAATTGACATCAATAAAATGCGTTTAGCAACTTAAATTCTTTTTGCGTAGCGGCGTTTTTTATCATGTTTATTATAATTTTGTTAAAAAAATATTTTACCGTCCCTGCATCACTGCCGTTCGGCCGCTGCACTCCGTTACGGCTCAATACACATTGACGTGCGGCATTATTTATGTACAGTGCTCAGCCTATACCCATATTCAATTTAAATCTTGAGAAGTTGAAAATCTGCTTACGCATGTAATTGATTAGGTGTGGAGAGTTTCACTTAATTTGAATTGAAAGGTTTAATGACGAATTATTTCAGTAAACTATATATTTTGCACTTCATCCAAGAAAATATATACATATAACACTGTATTTTATTATGCCGATGCATTTTCCTATTATTCCCCTAAGCATATAATTTTTTGGAGAATATTACCCACAAGGTAGCTAATTACTACTGTGTGTATAATTTACTAACTGCGTCCGCGGCTTCAATGCTTGAAATTCAGTTCGAGAATATAAGAGTTATATTTGGTCATTTTGTAAATTAACTTTGAATTCTAAAACTTTTTTACAAAAAGCATTTTCATGTACAGCACTCGTGCAGGAGGTGATAGTATAAAATAAGGAAGTTAAGCAAAAGTTTACAGGTCCAAAAATTAGTTAATTCAAAAATGGTAGTCGTTAAAAGTGTAAATGATTTTTTTGCGAGATATTTTAATTATGAGTTATATAGAGTGAAATATAATTTGAAACATCAATCAGCGTAAAGTGACGTCATTCCATAAGTCAGTTATAAACCATACTCATTTCTGAAGTTCATTATGAGTGTACATTTGACATTTTTACATAAAAAATTCTGTTAATGTAGAATTTAGTAGCTGTCTCAGGAATTTTCAAGATATAAATACAGGATTAAAAACAAGATCAAGCGGTTCATTTTCATATTACTCTATTATCAGTGCAAGTGTAATGACACATAAGAAGTTATTATAATTATAAGCAACCAACTTCTTTGTAAATACTACAAACGGCACAGTGAACGCCATCTGTAGCACGATGCTACATTTTAGGATTACGTATTTCGAATTATTTTACATCTATTATTATTTTTATAATACGTAAATACTTAAAGTTATTTATTAACAAATGGTGAAATGAATATACATTATTTTTAGTAATTACTTTTTGAAGTCGTAGAAGAAAAAAGTTTTATTTTTAATTAACCTTGCCTGTTTAGTGATGACGATGATGATGATACTCATCCAGGAAACAAGGCCGTGCGTGAGAAAGAACGCAGGCATGCCAACAACATTCGAGAACGGTATGTAGAAATTCGCTTTTAAATTTTAAAATATATTACAAATAAAAATTAGCTTAGGTTAGGTAAGATTATTCAAATTCACTTTTAAGACACTTATTATTTGTTGAAAACAAGCTTTTGAAATAAAATATGACGAGCTGAATTTTTAATTTCTTTGGACAGGTAAGCATTGCGAGTGTTTCATTAAGTATGAAAAATACACATAATAAAACTAATTGTGAACGTGTGATGAAATATGTTTATAAATAAAATAATAAAACCGTAAATTGTTTGAACAAGGGGTTTAATAAATACTCATGAGAGGTTTCGAGTGAAAAATCATTGTTAATTGTACAGACAATGTTAAAATAAGAAGTACAGCGAAATCATTTGAATACTAACATAGAAAACCCCTTAATTAGCTTACACAGGTACATATTTGGATAACCCGCATTTTATTCAAAATTTCCAACAATTATTTTCAAGATCATTGGAAGGGATATGTTCTGTGTATACAATTCTGTATGAGTATTAATAATATTTTTATTGCAATTTTCATCATTTGTTATTTCTAAAAAGTTATAGCAATTCCAGTTTTTTGTCTTTTTATCTGTCTTATGGTTTTCAGAAAGTCCTGTGTAAGCTCATTAAGGTTTTAAGAACGACTGGTCTGTTCTAGGTAAATCGCATGACAATCACCACAACTAACTTGTTTGTTGACTGTTTAATTTGCGGTTATTATTAGGAATGNGTACATATTTTTCCACATACGTTACCGCCTAGGTACATGATCAAGTATAATACATCTTGGAGATATTGTATTACTTTTGTAATGCATCCTTTCATTTTAAATTGTCCTTTTCATTGATTATAGTGTATTAAAGTTTATTGGAAATTAAAAATTTAATGATGTTAATAAGTTGAGAACTCAGAGGTTAGAAAGGTCCTATTGAAAAAATCATATTTCTTTATGAGACCAATAGATGCAAACAGTAAATGATAAATAATACCTTGTTTTATAGAAATTATTAAAATAAAGTATTTGCAGTTTCACAATTTTAACATAAAATCCCATCTGCTCTGGTCTGAATCGCTCTTCGCCGCACGGCGTTAAAACAAATTATACAATTTCCTTTTGTTAATTAAATTTTGATATCGCAATAGTGGCGAGCAACAATTAGATAAAGCATCATCAACATATTTACAACAGAAATGCATATATCTAGATAAATTTATTATTGTAATTGAATATTTCTTCTTCGTTCATTCATAAACATGTCGGGTAAAACAGACGACAGAGATCATAGAAAGTAATAAAGTTCTTTATACTATATTTTGATTGAATTATAATCTATTAGTTAACAAAGTATTAGTGAATTTGTAAACTTTGTAGACAGGGACATTAATAGAAACAACGTCTAAGAGAAGTTTCATTCTTATGAATTTTTGGTAAACCTTACAAGCTAAGAGAAATTGTATTCATAATTTTACGTAGCATAAACAATAATAGGAATAATATTTTGGAAATTTTTAAAAACTGTTTATTTCATTTTGGAGCAGGATTAATTTTGTAAAGT